TAAACTTTGATATTTTCACTGGTATTAAAATATCAATATAAAAAATCACAGGCGACCATTAGTAACCATGAGATAAATAAATTTATTAATTTTACCAGTTATGAATCGATTATTTTATCGTCTGCTGACAAACTTTCACGTGAAGTTATGCCTTCTCTCCGGCCAGGAATTTATCTTCAACAAGTGTTATCTATTGAAAAGACTGAAAAGGCGAATCCTCTTTTTTTGGTCATTCATTGGAGCGAAAATGGTTGTTATGATGATTCTGCATCTTCATATAGAAAGAAGAATATGACAAATTTACATAGGTAACCATGGTTTAAACTATTTAATAACACGCTATATTTCCCAATTTATCATGTAATTGATTTTTTTCAGATACCTCACAAAATTGACTGACCGTCAAATTTGTTTAATGAGCGAACATGATCTGGAATGTATAGATTGGCAAATAATCTCGAATGAAGAAAATGATTACGATAGTGAAGAAGAAGATGAAGACGACGGTTTATGCTATGATTTCGAAGTCAAGAAAAGCCAAGAGCAAAAGGAAGATTTCGAAATTTTTCCTGGATTCAGAGTGAGCCAAAACTTTCATTCTTTCGAATACTTGAGATAATTTGATTGATTCACTATTGCCTAAGGATCATTAATTCGCAAAATAGCTAAAAAAAAAAAAAAATTTCTCACGTCACGTCGTCGTCTTGTAAATTTTTAATCCGAAAGTTTATAGTGAAATCTATTATCAGAGAAGAGATGTAAAAACTTGTCTTCTATATTTATATTAAATAACAACTCTTTATAAGGTCAATATTTCAGGATTGGAGCCACGCCAAGCCCCAAGAAGTGATTATCTCAATAATATCCCATTGAATTCTTTGGTGGTCGATTCTGTATCAAATCAAACCTTCATTACGCGTGAAATTATTCCCGAAACCAAGTTTACCGAGAGCGGCACTATACCATTTAAATCGACCTTTCTTTTTCGCGAATATTTCAGAAGTAAACTAGAAACTCAAAAATGTGCCCTAATTTTAGACGACAGCTTAAAAATGTCAAACCTTGTAGTAATTGTCAAGGACGGATTAGGGTTAGAAGAGATTCTTCAACCATATTATGATGAATTGGATAAACTCGACCAGAGAAGTTTAAGCGTAAAGAGCAACAAAAAGAAATAATTAAAAAAGATGCCTTTCTTATAGAGAAACTTGCATTGCACATGCTCAAATTAGAATATAGGTAATTAAATCTATGATTTTTCGATTTATTATGGTTAACATGATAATTTATGTTAATTATTTTCTTTTATTAAAGCGAATTCGAAAAATCTTTGCATGGAGAATATGGTAAGCTTTTTATTTTATTTTATTTTTTTTTTTTTTTAGAATTGTCGCTTAAATATTTTATCTAATTATTCAAATTATCATAAAGATTTCATAGAAGAAGATGGTCTGTTGATGAGTATCATTATACCGTATATTATTCCACCGGATGTTCATTGCCGGACTTTAATTTATAAATTTATAATAATTCTTTTTAGATATCCAATACATTCAGCAAAATTATCCTGAAATTGTATCAAAATTGGAAGAAGTCATCAAGTTTATCGACCACAAGCCATGGATAGATCTAAAGTGTCGTTTTCATCTTGCAAAATATTTCTGTGAAAACAATGCCGAAGACGTTAGTCACGAACCAATTCCGGACCAAAGACAGTATTTTTTGGAAATCTTTTCTGATAATTCGACAGGCATTTATAACCTGGTCAAAAAGTGCGAAAAAACCACGAACTCGTGGAGTACATCATTTTTTAGACGTTCAAAGACAAGTGATATTGTGAAGAAAATCAAAGAAGAGGCATCTCAGATTTCTGATAGTCAATTTGTTAAAAATATTCCCACGACGAACAAATTGTTAATGCTTTTTATGACGAATACGTTAATTGGCGAAAAAGAAATCTTCTAAATAGTATTCAGAAGATTTTACCAAAGCATCCCAGTACGCAATTTTCATTAGAGTTAGATCGCGAGTTTAATCATGAAGAACATGAACTTGAAATTCGCGAAGTGGCTCGTATTTGTTCTGAAGTCAATAAGATGTAGCCCGAAGGAGAACTTTTAAAAATAAAAGGCCTTGAAAAAAAATGTAAGGAAAGTGTTTATTTCGTATCAATTTAGTTTTACACGTTCTAACAACTTGTATCCAATATATATATTTATGTTAAAGCTTCTTATTATACATGGAATACTGAATCATATCGACTCTTTAGAGAGACAGAGGCCCTACATCCAGCACAGTTAAGAATTACCATATATGGAACAAGGATTAGCCAGGAAGATTCTATGGAATTAGAAAAAGATGAATTCTTCATACCTACACCTTTACTACATAGCTCGGGTCGAAATCCAGGTGTTTCTTTCGAAATTGATCCCGAAACATATGAATTTGTGTAAGTGTCGCACTAGTATACAATTAATATTTATCTAATATATAAGAATAAATTATTCTCTGTTTCTTATAGTAACATATCACAATTCGATAAAAAGTTCCTTGTAATTTTGTGGAACAAAGTTAAATATGGCAATAAAATGGAACTTTACTTTGATTCATTACAACGTCTGCCAAAGATGATCGAATTGCAAACTCCAATTAAAAAATTAAATTCTGGTCCCAATTCGAAAATTGCCATTAATGATTCAAAAGGGTTAATTGCAATTTATAGCCCTGAAAAGGCTTTGGTATGTATGTTTTAATTATTAGTATTATTTATACAATGATTTATTAATTGATAAAAAAAATTATTTCAGCTCAATGTTTATGGTGTCGATTATGATCAAACAAATCTCAATTTGCGCTATAGGAATATTATACTATTGCCATATTATAATGATATTGCTCCTGAAATCAACCATTTTCTTTTCATAAGAAATACTGAAGATATTTGTTTTGTTGAAAATGCTGGCAGAGCAAAGATTTATAGTTTAATTAATGATAGTTTTCGTCCCGGAATCGCTGATTTTCCGCCTTCGGCTACAAAAATCTTGAGTACCTCAGATGGTTACTGCATTGTTGCCTTTACCGCAGTGCAAGAAGAATTAAATGATATTGAAATGACGGATGCACCCATCTCGGACGCTGAGAATGAACGTGTTAACAACGAAGCATCATGCGATAATACTGAAGAGATTAGCGATGCCATTACCAATAATACTGAAGAGATTTACAAAACCATTTCCGATAAAGATGAAGAGATTAACGAATCCATTTCCGATAATGCTGAAGAGATTAACGAATCCATTTCCGATACTGAAAAGCTTAACGAAACTAATTCTGAACAACTATATGGTTCAGGAGGATCAGACTTTGTCAATGCACACATTTACTTTGTCGAAGGCTTCAGTCAAAATGCTAAAAAAGTGATTGTGATACCTTTTACAAAATCTTCAATTGAGACCTTTCAATTTTCAGTCATTGGCAAACGTCAAATTCACTTGATCATTCTGAATCAACAAGGAGGATTGTTTCAATCTGTATTGGTAAAAATAACTCATGCTAAAACTCAATACCGTTTTGAGCGACAATCTCAAAATACAACTTTGGGTCAAGTTAAAATCGAAAATAACAAATCATTAACAATTTTGGGAAAAGATACCATGTTCAAAAGAGATTTTCGTGTTGGTGATTATTTAATCATTGGAGAAGAGAAGCGTCAAGTATCCGAAATTGTTTATGATAATGTATTGAAGATTGTTCGGCCAAGTTTTGAAAATGTTAAGTTTGGACAGTGGTTAAGTTTCGGGATTGAACAAATAACTACCAATAATGGTCTTATTGATGTTTACGCTATGGTTTTTACAAAGTACGCAACAACAACTCCTATTGGGCAAATTGACAAGCCTTTAAAAGCAACATTTGTGGTCGACGTATCTCGGAGTTCTAAAACAATTTCTACATATGAAGCAAAAATTCGAAAGTATGTTGATAAAATGTTCGAAAAGGTTAAAAAAGAAACCAAAAAACCTTCAGGTCACTTGAAACATTTTAAATCTGCGTATGCAATTTTTGAGAATCTTACCCTGGATGATGAAAGCACTGAATATCTCTTTGGGGAGTAAGTATTTTATAATTTTCATTTTGAGAAAGATATCGTTTTCTAATTCTGAATAATTTATAGATGGATTATCTTGCTTTTCTGCTTGATCCCAATTCAAATTGCCATTGCCCGTGATAACGAATTTGTTCCTTTACAAGATGGAGTTTTCTCATCCGAACTCGACCAGCCCAATTTTGATGGAGGATACGGATTAATTGGGAGTGTGAGCAAAGCTATATCTTTTGGATGGTACGAAGCCATTTTTGAATATTACGCAGATTTAGAAGTTAAAGTAATATCGTCGATGGGCGAGCAATCTTGTGGCAAGTGATTTATTTAACCTTTTAATATATTGTTATTATTTGTAATATTCCTTAATTGTTCGAATTCATTTAAAAAAGGCAAAAGTTATTTACTTAACCATTGTGTGGGATCCATATTTGACGGTTCTGCCATGGTAAGCAAATCATATTATATTTAAAGTCAATTTTTCATACTGATTGACAATATGTTCCATTCTCTAGCGATGTACCGAAGGAGTATGGATGTCAGTTGGTATGAATTAGAAAAAATATTTATGTTTTGTAAGTTATAATATTTTTAATATTTAATGCCACAATTTATTTGATTGAAAGTGAAAACCAAAGAGATTCTTTATGTCGCCTTGGATTTTGAAGGTAATACTGTATTTTTTCTCGTTTCCATAACTTTATGCAAAATTTCATATATTTTGTTTTGAATGCTGCAGGCTTAGCGAGTATTGAGAGAACTCCGCAGGAAGAGACTTTCATGCAACTTCTCAATGCCGCATTATCAAATCTTGTTTTATTTAAGAGTCAATTTGCCGTTAGCCGAGACATATCTTCAATGTTTCAACGCTTTCAAGATGGTACAAATTATTTTGGTGATGATCCGGATATATTCCAAGTAAATATTCATCCAAACCTTCAATATTAACTAGAAGCTCACTCATTTTCATTTAATTTAGGCTCGATTTTGTATCATTATTAAAGATGTGGCGAAAACTGATCGAGAAGACATTGTTGCCGAATTTCAATCTAAATTCTCAAGAATTGTTGATCGTGTAAAATTTGTTTCTTTTTTATACTGTAAAAAAAAAAATATAAAATCAAGTATAAAAATTAAGTGCTATTTTTATATAGGAAGAAGAGGATAATTTCATCACAAAATTATATCGTAATAAAATGAGCATCATTCCTTGGCCAGTATTCAATGAAGCCTCATTTTATACAACATTTAAGCAATTGAAAGTTAAACTGGACGCTCAAGATTCTGAGTATAATAATGCTAGAGCTTTTGTCGAAAAAATCAAGGTAGAGATATACTTATTTTAACAAGAACTTTCGAAAGAAATAATAACTTATCTGCTACTAATAGTTTAAAATTATATTCTAATAATTTTAGGTGTTAATGACTAAGTTAAAGTTTGTATTTTCCCTTTTTGTTTTCCTTGTTGATTTCTTTTTAAAATTCCGAACCTTATCTACTTGCTCCTTTCAGAGTGTGTGATTGGGGTAATATACAATCAACTTTAATCACAATGCGGGCGTTAGAAATCAAGAAATTTCTTAGCGATGCCATCTCTTTCGGCTACGAACAAAAAGAAGAAGATCCTTTTTCTGATTACGAAGCTCCAGAAAATGCAAATACTGACCTTGATGGACTAGAGCAAAGAGTTAAGCCTCTACAGGTATTATAATTTTACGATGTTTTTTATTTGAGAATTGAAAATATAAGTTGAAATTCCATATTTGAAACAAAAATTAGGGACGTGACGATGGAACTTTGATTCCTGACGATGTAGTACTTCTTTCAGAGATTTTTGATGATATTGATGGGTCAGTTAACTTGATGCATGATACTGGACTTGTTTTACTACAGAATGGAAAAGATTTTGTAGAACTTTCAAATGGTAAATTATATTAACATTTGGTATTACATTATTGGCAAGTTTTAATAATTAAGTTTATTAGATTTAAGAACTTATTTTGAAGAAAACATCCACCTTCGAGGAGAAATACCAGACGGTCAATGGATCGAAAAATATGATAAGTTTTTAAAGTTCATTATAAATAGGCGTATCGGTCGTGTTCAACAATGGTTCAATAAAAACACCTCGAGATTTCCTAACGATAATAACGAGATCAAAATTACTAGTTATGCACTTGAACAAGAAATAACCAAGCTAAATCTATTCTGGAACATTTGTCGACTCCGATGTGACAGCTGCAGCTTAGCATGTCTCAAGACGAGTCGTCATGACGATAACGAGAAAGACATGAGTCATGATTGTTTAACGGACCATTTATGTCATTTTCGTTGCTTCTTTGAAGAAGCTCATACCACTGGCACTTTACCTGAGTGCGTTCAGTTTGCTGGTCATGAAGGAAGGCATGCTTGCGCACAAAACCATGCTTGTGGAGCACCTTGCGTTTATTCCGGAAAACGAAGTTGTCAAACCCGTTGTGCTAAAGAGATGGGGCATGAGAAATCTCTTGGAAATGAGACTCATTTATGTGAAGCTAGTCGTCATTATTGTGGTGCTCCATGTTCGTTAAAAGTGAGTGGTGTTTATGAATGCCGAAATAAATGTATAGTAAGTATCTTAATGACGTGACGGAAAGTTTTGTGCACTTAACGAAAAATGTTTAAAAATGTTAACCATTAATTTTAAGATTCCTTGTGAAGATAATCATTCCGTTCATAAATGTGAAAATGAAGTATGTCCGATTGAATGTCCACTCGACAAATGTCAACGAAAATGCGAAAGTAGAGACCATTTTCATTCCTTCGAGAAAGATGCACAACATTTTTGCGGGTAAATAAACGCGATATTATTCAAGTTTGAATAAATTAAGTTGCATATAATTGATGTGTAAAATTATAGAAACGAACATCAATGTCCAAAAGATTGTGAAGAAATTGGGATTTGCAAAATCGTAACCGAACCCACCGCGATGATTAAAGAACAAGCCGAATATGTTAATAAGTTTGGCAGCTTTATGTTCACAAAGGTAATATTTCATATACTATATTTAATATTGTATAAACTAATTCTCTTTCAATTATAGTATTCTCAAACGTTCCAAAGGCTTCAATGTTGCAAAAAAATTCCTTCTTATAAATTCGAGCATGAAGGCAAACATGTCCATGAAATAAGAAAGCTACATGTATGTAATACATCATGCCCTAATGATAAGGGTAAGCATATTAAAGAAGAAAATGACAAGCAAAATTTTCATTACTGTGATATCAAGTGTCCGAATTGTGCCTACTATGTGAGTAATCCTTTTATTATAAAAACGTTTCCTTTTTAAATATTTATTTATTCTTTTTTATTTTAGTGCAATTTGCCTTACGATCACGGTAGAATGCATAATACAGAACATTGTAAGTGGTCAAAAAAAATATTTATTTCACGTAATTCAAAAATAAAATTCTGATTAAATTTACTTTGTCAACAGATACTGTCCATGGAAATATGCTTATGACCACCTTTACTTGTGAAGAGGAGGAATTCGAATTTGAAGGTATGTTTTGCATGCAAATCATGTTTATTATAAACTAATGGATTTGCTGGTATTTATTATGATGATAGGACATCGTTTGAATGTTGGAGATCACGGTGATTTTGTTCTCTGTCACAAAGTAGGTGTATTGATATTTAACTAATGTAGGTTTATATATATAATGAATCCTTTTTTTTATGATTTACAAGTTGTGTGAAAATATGGGTCGTCATCGGCATATCGATTTTTGTAAAGATCCCGGAGTGTGTGAGAGCGAGGGAGGCTCTCGAAAAGAAGGTGTATTAGAACATATCAAAGGCAAGAAAATGTTAATCAATGATTCCAAATTTCATACTTAAAATCTCCCGCATAATAATTTTGATTTTAATAACAGCGAGCATTAGTCCTCAACCTAGCCGAAAAAAGGATTATATCTCTCACCGTGTATTTTGGGAACGAACAATGTTTCAAGGTAATGTGACGTAAATTCTGCTACTTTTGAAGTTTTAAAGTTACAAGTTTCGGTTTTCCATAAACTGAAGGATTCCAATTGTGTAAATTTCTCCATCTCAATTATGAATATATAGACAAAGTTGTAAATATTTATTTATTTTACAATAGATCCTTACACGAAAGAGGATCGAGAAAATTTCAAAAAGTGCGATCATGAATGTGCCGATGAGAAGCATCATAATGTAGACGAGAAGACTGGTCAAGAACCTGTCAAATCTTATTGTACTCAAGAAATATTTCACACTCCAGTCGATCCGAAAACCTTTTCCCTTGGACGGACAGGTTATATATCAACTGATGGCCATCATTTTACGTGCGAAAACCCAACAAAAAATGTTGGTGACTTCCATATTGTATTTGTTGTGGATAGAAGTGGTTCCATGAGTATTGGAGATTGCAAACCAATTTGTTCAAGCACTGCCACCTCGAGATTGAAGTTATCGCACGACAATCGACTCGGAGCTGTGTATGATGCAGTTTATACCTTTATTGATAGCCGTCGTTCCTCACGAAAGGCATCACCTTCTGGACAAATGGCGGTGGATCGCGATACCGTATCTTTGGTCCTTTTCGACCATAATGTTGACACTGCTTTCGAGAATGAAAGTTTATCGAAACATGAAGAATTATTAACAAAGATGATGAAATTTCGTCCTGGTGGTGATAATTATTATAATATTGGTATTTACAAAGCTTCAGAAATTTTCAATAAATATTATGATGCTTCAAAGTAAGTAATTAATTGGTTTCAAATGAATTCTATAAATGTTAATTGAGACGAACTTACAATAGGACGAACGTAATTATATTTTTATCGGATGGTGAATACCATGCTCCGGAAACAGAATTACGCCGCCTTTGCGAAAGAGAAGCGAACAGAGGGTAATATCAAATTAAATTACAAAAATTTAACCTTAAGCAATAAATTAAAAAGTCGTTTTATTTTCCACAATAGGTCACCGATCTTTTTATACACTATTATGTTTACCGGAGGCACTTTTCATATGACTTATGGGAAATCGCTTCAACGAATGGCTGATATCGCTTCTGAATACCTTCCTAAGACGAACGACAAAGACTCGTTAAAATGTCAATATGTTCTCGCCATGAATCAGATAAAGTTGACAGAACATTTTATCGCGGTGGCTGAAAGTTTACGAAAGCATCGACCAATGTTAATGCGTAAATAAAAGAACTGACAACCATCAAATAATCCATTTTTTCATTTGTCCATATTTGAGATAAGGTTTATTATTCTTTAACTCGATGAGTAAATTAAAAGTAAACTAGTTTGTGATCAAATGAATGATTTTAAATAAAATATACAAAACTCGCTAATTGAATTTTTTTTCTTTTGAGGATATAATAAAAAATAAAATTCAAAATGTAAGGTTAAATACATGTGTTTGCGAATCCCAAATAAAAAAAAATATCTATGTATTTGGTATAGAGGTTACTATAATGTCTGTACTCATAGCTTTTGAAGTTTCCGAGCCATCAATCTTTAAATCTACTTTATCTACCATTGAACTCGGTTTTTTTTCATTATCTTATTAAGAAAAGTTATCTCAACTACTTTTAGTTTACTATGACTTCAAAATTTGTGAAGAGCCACTTTGATATAAAATATTAACTATATGCTTAAATTTAAGAAACTTTAATCCTGATAAAAATTTATCGTAGTGGTCAATGTTATTTAAAACTTGTAAGTTTTCAAATACATTTTTTTAGTCAAATATCAAGGTTAGCATATTTGTTTTTTTTTGAGTTATTATATGAGGCTTATTAAAATAGAATTTGTAAGTAGATGTGCTTCTCCGATGATTAGGACAAACTTAATTTTATTCGTATTAAAACGCAGGTTTCTCTTGTGATCTTCTACCTTGGAAATAATTATGAGATACTATATAATTTCTTTGCTAACAAGGGGGGTGGAAAATACAGATTGTAAAGTTCAGAGAAATCCCGCAAGACACAGGTACTGTGAATTTTTTGACAAAAATTAAGATTTTTTTTATTGCGTTCTTAAAAAAAAATCATCCATCTTTCAAATTATCGAGTTGAGTTGATGCTAAACTTCTCGTTGATATTGTTTGTTTAAATGATTTTGAAAAGTAAAATATTGACTAATACATAGTCGAGCTGGTTTTAGTTAACAGTTGCTTGACGTGAGCATGGACAACAAAGATTAAAAGTTTCTCAACGAACATCACTGATCCCGAAAATATTAAAGCGAATAATATTCTGAAACGCCAAAATGCATCTAATTATTAAATAGTTAAAATATATATACGCGAAAAAGAGATGTTATGTCACAAAATACACGTGATTATATTTGTCGTATAATTGACTGCGCCATATAATTTATTTATTATGAAAAAATACCCATTTGTAATATAGGAATGATAACTGAAATAATGATTTCAATGCACATTAAATATTTCGGTTTTGGTTTGTGATCTATTTACATTTTTTGATCCTTTAACCGTATATATATTTCCTGCCAAATCGCTTTACCAAAGTTTTCTCCATATAATTTTGAGTATTAAACTTTATAAATGGAATTTTTCTTACATATATACTTGAGATGCTTGATATCCAAGTCTTGTAAAGCCAAAAAAAAAAAGTTGCAACTATCCCTAATATATAGCCAAAAAAGGAGTTTCAGTTGGATCCATGAACATCATTGGGATTATCATTGCTTTAAAGAAGCCAAGATCTTTTTGTAATTAAAAGGCCAGATTTGGAATTCACAAAACGGTAAAATCATATCTTCCAAGATTAAATAAACCAATTAAGGAACTGATTGTTAAGATACGCGTATGATCAAAAAAAAAGTTAATCCAGTTAAAAAAAAATTTCCTTTTTTTTAATACCCCATACATTTGAGGAGTATACACTAGATTATTTATTGAACTTTGTAATTTCGTCAAACGAAATTATAAAATTCAAAATTCAAACTTAACCATTATTATTATCGAACGAGGAAAGAAATATTTGCTGGTAAGTTTGACGTTGTTCTTACATACAGGATATAATTCATGGAACACTTGTTCCAATGTTTTCTTTCAAAGATGTCTAATTCTAGGAAGACTCATGGGGTTCGAAATTCACATGAATTTGATAAACATAAACTTTAGTGATTTTTTTTTGATGCGCTTTAAAAAAGGGGCGTATCAAAAAAAAAAAAAATACGCTCCAAGATTGATTTACATATAAATGGAATGTTTATTAAATAAACAGATATACTGTACAACACAATTAATTCAATTTAAACATCAATGTCACTTAAGTTTATAAATAAGTCCTAAAGTATTAACAAAATCATCACCGGTACCATAAAGGCCAATCGATTCAAATTCATGATTATTTGGCACCTTTAAGATGTGATCATCCCCACCATGTTTACCAAACCATTCACTACTTCTACCCAAATTGGTCTTGATTTCAAATCCATCAATATACCACCCGGAATTAACTTTTAATTCCACAATTTCTTCGTTTCCTTCCATAAATCTGAATTCTTTCTTATTACCATGATCTTTACCAACGGATAAATGTGTACCATCGGACCAAAAGAATGTGATCCCATTAATGTAATAATCATATTGAACAACCATTCTCTTTAATTTAACCGATTCATTTTCATTGGCGATAAATTTGTTAAAAAAAACTCGAAATTCGGTTAACCTTTCATCAAGTTTTCCCAAATAAGGGGATTTAATTACCTCTCCATATATGGGTAAAATCACTTTACTTTCTCTCAAGAATCTTTGTAAGTTACTTAAGGAATGTTCGGTTTGATTCTTGGATACAACATTCAATTTAATGACACGATTGTCATCATATTTTTCATATTTTTCAATGATTTCGGAGATTTTTAATCGAACCTCGGTTTGATGATTATCATCATGAACGTATTCTATATAATCCCTAAGTGATTCTTCAACGTGAAATTCAATCAATGAAATACCTGAAGGGGATTTGATTAATATAAATTCATTTAAGAGCCAAAAGTCCGCACTGAGATTTTTAAATTCGGTCGATAATGGTGGATCTGAAAGCAAACGGAAACATGGATGATATCTAAACCTTATGATATCACATCGATGCCAATGCGCACCATTCTCATCGGACGGTGTTATTGGCGAAGGATTATTTGGTTCCTTAACCGTGAATGTACGATTTAAATTGTTAAACCCTCGTGCCATGATTCCACTGGGCGAATGAGGCGCTCCCAAACAATGTCCAACTTCATGCAAGAAGGCTCCGATTCCGACATTACAACATTTCCACCAGGTTCCAGATTCTCCCACATCGTTGGATAATCTAGTCTCATCGGTTATGGTATCATCTTGAAAGCAATCAACAACTTCTTCCAGATGTCTTGGCCAAGCGTGAGTCAAATGACTACCAAAAATTCCTAATTGAAGGTTACCTCCGCCACCTCCTAACGCGGCATGACCTCTGACCAACTTCATATCAAGTGAGTTTTCATAGTGAGAATCTAATATTAATCCTGCGACGTAGCACTGATTACTGAATGGTACCCCATATTCTTTTAACCCATCCGTGAACATGGAGTATAAATCTTTTTTATCATCATTCCTGTTGGGATTTTGTTGAGCTATATCCGGATCTAAAATCTGTTCTAACGTGTAAGAACTACGAATGATATGAACTTTTGCCGTTTGTCTTAATCCAGGTTTTTGATTGGAAAGCGTGTCCTCTATCCATTCTTCTTCCAATCTAAACACCCTCCTCCCAAATTCATTACGACTCATTTGCTCTGCCGTAAATGCTTGCCATAAATAACCGGCACAACGAAGTTTCGCTATGACAGATTCTAATTTATTTTCACCACTTTTTTCTTTCTCTTTTGGAGCATCAATCACCTCTTTGGAATCCTTTGCCACGAGGATCGCCAGATGTAACGGAGGATTTTGTAATAATGGGATATAATTCACTTGAAGTATCGTTGTTAGTGGTTTGGAATCATGAGAAAATTGTATACCCTGTTTATCAAGGATGAGTTTGATATCATTAGATCCGGGGTCAAGATGTACTAAACATTTGAAGTGAGAATTAAAAACCGGCCAAGTGGTGGATGGAAAATTGGTCGCATGATGTTCAACCGTGATGTTTGATTGAAATTTCACATCACGTGGACCCGCTCGTCCATAAATCAGCAAGACACGCTACATTGGAAAAAAAAAAAAAAAAAAAAAAGATTATTAACCTTTATTGGTTCGATTCTCAATCGATCGATTTCTTTACAACCTGATGAACCGTTTCACCATTTTTAATGTTAATTACAACAGGTAATAAATCTTTTAATACGATTTGCATTTTTTTATAATTTTTTCTTTTTTTTTTTAAGAAAAAAAAAACATAACTTGGCACTCTTAAATAAATTTTTTAATCCCCGATTATCCTATTATATAAGCATTAATAATTTGTCATGTGTTAATGATCGACATTATCGGAATTCTAAATATAACACACACATACACATAATGCATAAATTAAAATTTGATGTAACGTATTTTTTTTAACTAGTCAAATTTCCAGAATTTCGACTTTTTTGTCTTTATTAATCAAGGTCTTTTAAAAATACATTATTAGAAAATAAATAAATATTCGGTTAAATAATATAATAAACTTTTTTTTTAAAGGAAAAAAAAAATTATGATAATAAGGGGAATGAATTAATAGTATTAGTATATATATACATTATGAAAAATTAATTAGCCGATACATACCCAACCCATTATAAATTAAAATTAAAGAAAAAATCATAAACTCATAGACCTAACCCTTAAACTCATATCGTTTTTAATTCCACTCCCCCTTGTTTTGACCCTTTCAGCCATACCACCCCTCTGATTTTCCAAAGGTAGTCCTTTGTAAGTATATCCTTTAAATGCTAATTCTTTTCTCATCTTTAAAATTTCCTTGCCATGATTTTTATCCCTCAACATCGGATCTTTCGGTTTCCTTTCAACTTCACCTCCAGGTGGTGCCAATGGATTATCATCAATGTTATCTTCGAAATATCTCGTATCGATTTCTGAGCTTAATTGCGGTCTAAAAGGTGGTGTCTTTTTATGTAAATTCTCCCAATCAATCCCTTTAAACCACGGATGTAATTTAATTTCTGATGCGTCCCCGAGACCTAAAACAGCTGATTTACGACTTGCCATATAAAGTCCATTTGGTTTTACTGCCGATGCTGTCGATTTTGATCCTAAACGATCTTCTTTTTCACATATAAGGTTCTCTATTAAATCTTGGACCTCACGTGAAACTCGGGGACGGGATGGGAAACGAAGGTATTGGCGCCAATTAACTATCTTTTGACGAGTTGCATGACGAGTCTTTGAACTGAATGGAGGATATCCGTATAACATTTCGAAAATAATAACCTAAAAAAAAAAAATTGCGAGTGCATTTATTCAATAAACAACTCTTCCTCAAAAAAAAAAAAAAAACCAAAATCTTGATGAGTTACTCCTAAACTCCACCAATCACAGCCTCTATTGTATCCAGTTCCTCTTAATACTTCCGGTGCCATATAATTATTTGTCCCGACGACGGAGAATGCCATCTTTTTTCGATTCTTGTCTCTCCAACTTAACACTCTTGTATTAGGAACATCACTATCTGATACATCTTCATCGGACCATTGATCCATCCATTTGGGTGTTCTATATTTTTTAGCCATTGCCTTTGATAGCGTATCCGTTTCAAGATCAACTCCCGTTTTACGTAAAAGATCTCTTCGCTGCTGCTCATAATAATGTGAATCATGTACCCAATGGAAATCGGTCGCCAATCCAAAATCTGAAAGTCTTATGTGCCCTTCCCCATCGAAAAGAAAGTTATCGGGCTAAAAATGATGAAGCTTATTAATTCATTTGCCAAAAAAAAAAAATTTACTTTCAATAAAATTTTTTTAAACATTCACCTTAACGTCCCGATGGATATAACCCATTTTATGAGCCTCTTCGATACATAAAATCATTTCAGCAACATAAAATTTAGCAAATTCCTCTTCAAATATATCTTTTTCAATTAAAAGATTTAATAAATCACCACCAGGCATATATTCCATAACTAAATATAAATGATCAACATCTTGGAAGGAATAATTCAATTTAACAATCCATTGAGCGGTCTCCGCGGCTGCGGTTAAAAGATCTCTTTCGGCTTTAACATGACCCTCTTGACCTTTCTTCAACATATCAGCTTTTCTCATGACTTTCATAGCATATGTAACACCAGTTGTATGATCACGAACCAACTTAACAACACCAAAGGCTCCATGACCAACGGTTTTAATTATTTGAAATGAATTGATCGTAATTTTTCTACGTAATAAACGCATGTAATCAGATTCTAGGTTAAGCCATTCTTGCCTTATCTCCCGTTTATCTTGATCTGAAATTTTCATATTCTCGAGTTCTGTTTCTAATTGCATTCGACGCTTGGATCTTCCCGAAGGTTTTTTGAGAATTCCATAGAAATAATTTTCGAAATAAACCTTTGCTGCTACAGATTTTTCAATTGTGGTCAAAGAAGGAACTATTTGATTTAAAAATTCGCTATCATCAATAGGTAATTTATCTTTGGCATAATTTTTAATTATAACGGTTCCACTTTTATTTATTTCAATGTCAGGAATTAATGGTTCTCCATCGAATTGCTTTGAAAACGTTTTATAATGTATTGTATCACCTAAAAATTTATTTTAATTTTTTTTTTAAAAAAAAAAAAAAAAACTAGTGGAAAATGCTGATCCTTACCTGGACATTTACTCAAAGTTTGATTATTCAAATAAACTAAAAAGTCTTCAGCCTGTTCCCCGCTCTCTGTATGAATAAGATGCCTACAAATGGACAAGTAGCAAAATTAAGACCAAGCTTGAGCAAAGCCTGACAGTAAATGGCATTATTATTAAAAGGATTCTTACTCGAAGTCCCGAGGTGCCGATATATCATCCTTGTTAAAACGCCTCTTCATAAAACTACCGAAATGTAATGGAACTATCATTTTTATGATTATCAAATTAGCATCATATAAAAAAAAAAAAATTAACATTCGAAACAACGACCATAGAATTTTTACCATTCATTTTGGTGGCTACGTAATCAAGAATTTCATAAAATCTTGGAGACGTTATCGAAGTACGTTTATTTACCGGTGGAGACTTTGCTCTCGGGGTCAAAGTAGGAATATTATTAATAGTGGTCGACTTTCGTTTAAACATGATAAATTATGGATGGAGAATGTGAAAATTATGAAAATAAAAAATTTTCGAAAATCAGGAATTTTTCGAACTATTAAATAAGGTAGCATAAAGTTGTGTGACACAATGATGCAATAGGGGCAGGGCATACGTAAATACATTGGCATTTAAGGGGGGGTGGGGGATAAAAAGGAGGGTCAGAATAAATACACGGAGCTAGGGTTCCGAAGATCGTCGAATTGTGATTTCCCACTTTAGGCATAAAAAATAGGGTATTCATGCGTTCATAACTCGTGTTCATAACTTTAAAAAAAAAAAAGTCATGTGCATCTCTTTCATTTGTAATTTGCATTACGAATTACGAATGTAAGTACTGTGCCACAATTGTCCTTATTACTTTTATTTGATAAATGATGTATGATTTTATAATGTTTATATTACAAAGAGACAAAGGATTATAATAAATAAAGGGAATTGTAACTAAATAAATTAAATTATGAAACAAGTTCAATCCGCCACTGTAAAAAAAAGACAATATCAGTATTTTTTTGTTTTTATTCGGAAAAGTTCACCTGATCATTGTACCTTATGAATGTCTCCTTGGCCATCACCGTGGATGATGACTTCTTGATTTCCGTCAGAATTTTTAAACTCATGACTCTGTAAGGACATTTTATTAAGATTATGTCGTAAAGTAATTATATCTCCATCCATAACGTAGTCCGGATTATCATAATGTAAAAGATCGTGACTTTGAACGATCCAATTCGTTCTCGGATCTGTTAGCGTCCACACCCATGCTGACATTTGAAAATTTAGAAATTAAAAAAAAAAAACGAGAAAAAAAAAAAAAAAACTGTTGTCAAAGATTTGATTACCTCCTGATAAATTTAATTGACCCTCGTCACCGAATAATGCTTCTCGTGTTTTTTCATGAACCAATTGAATCATAGAATTAAAAAAAATCGGATCACCAGGCGCTTTATTCTGACCGTAAGTAGCTGTTACGATCCAAACATCATTTTCACTCCGTTTCCAACTACTGCAGAATACCTACAATTAATAAAATTCGTTAGATTATGATTTTCTATCTCAAATTATTTGTTCCTCTTAATCAAATACCTCAGATAAATTGGCTCTCAGCGGGTCAGGCTTATGTTTTTTTCCGTGTGATAAATATTGACTAGTGACGACGTGCTTTAATGCTACTCTTGATCCATATCTTATTTGACTTTTATATTCTGTCATGGTATCATGAAAAATTTCAATCACTCTATGCATAGAAGGTTGCTTTTTGATTTTGTTTATAAAGATATCTCTAACAACATCATCAGGACATGCTTGAACTAAACAAGTTTTTTGATCTTGAACGTTTATAACATGAGAATTAGCGCAAAGCGAAAGAAATTTTGCTATAAAATCAACTATGTTCACATCTACATTATATTTAATTCCTTTTAATTCCTCAAATGCCACTTTACATTGTAAGGTATAAGTTACGTGATCTTTTAGAAGGTTCGATAAATCTGAAAATGAAGATATCCCCTCCTTCGGTATAGGAATGGTATTATCGATTTTTAATAACGCTAATTCTAACATTTCATGCTCTTCGTGAATTCCACGAAGTAAACAAAAAAAACGGAATTCTTTTAACCACTCTTCAGGATTTTGTGTCCCATTATATTTTGGGGGCGATGAGTCCATTGAATGAATGAAAAAAAGGATGAAAAAAAATAAATTAACAAAATGAACATGTAGGCATTTATATAAATTCATATTTATTTAGCTGCATTGTTTAGATCGCACAAAAAAAAAAAAAAAATTTGCAAATCATGAACTAAAATATCATGATTGGTAGTTAAATAATATCAATGCACATTGTATTCGAAGATTTCACCCTTGAAAGTAAACAGTTTCAAAAC